AGTGTGTGTGCATGTGTGTGTGCTGTTCTTCCATGTGGTGCAATCCCTGGTCTTCCTGTTGCTGCCGTGGAAAGATGAGAGGCCTCCCTTCCCTCCCCTGGCTGCCAGGCACTGCTGAGCGCAGCTGCGCGGGGCTGCCTGAGCCAGGGCTGCCTCTGCCTTCCAGAACAATCCTGGAGACGAGGAGGGAGAGAGGTCAGCTGGCAGCATCTCTCCAAGGACACTGTTCCCTGCACGGAGAGAGAGCTGAGCCCCGAGGGTGCCCCTCTGACAGACACTTGCCTGCTCTGTCCCAGGGTGCGGCCCCAGCTCGCCCCGGTGCCGTGGGAGCCCCTCAAAGGGACCAGCTCCCCGTGTGCTCTGCCCAGCCCTGGTGGCAGGATCAGCCTCCCCTGTCCTGCTGAGGCACAGCTCACCTGGGCCAGGTGTCCCTGAACTCCTGGGGCAGGTTTGTTTGTTTGTTTTCACGCAGTACCTGTGACTGTTGAGTTCACCTGGCCGGGAGCGTAGCCAGGTGCACCCCGGGCATTTGCTGCTCTTCCAAGCCCAGAGGCAGCAGAAAATTCTCCTCACTTGGGTGACTTTCTGACATGGTCTGCCCTTTTCTTTTTTTGCTTAAGGCTTCCTACTAGACGCATCCTCTTCTTTTTATTTTTTTTTCCCCTCTTCTCCTCCCACTCAAACTTTTTTTTCAGCTTTCAGTAGACAACGTCTGCAGACTTTGATTTTTAAACTGAGAGACTGAGATGGAAAGCTCTGAAGAGAACAGACCTCTCCCTCCCCATTCACCTTTTGCTGTGGCAGCTATTTTTTGGGTTTTTTTTACCCTTGTGAGACAGTGCAGCTCTTTTACCTGCCAGTTGCAGTGTGAAAGCAACCAGATTTCCTGCCTCTGCAGTGGGTTGCTTTGTTTTTAATGGCTGCTTTGGTTAAAAAAAACGAAGATTAATAATAATAGGAGAGAAGGGGAGAGAAAAACCTTTCTGCCTCTAGCCCCTTTTCCCCTTGCTGTGGGCAGATTACCTGCTTGTCGCTTGTTAACAAGGAATTTGTATTTATTGGTGAAGGAAAAAAACATGCTGGGGAAGTCAGGAGAAGATGTTGCTTTATTGACCTCTGCTGTTTACTTCAACCCCCTCTTTGGGAAAGCTTCTTCCTGCTCTTTCTGGTTAACTCTTTCTAGCCTGGGATATGCAGGGATGCCTCCTTTATTTTTGTATTCTAGCAATGGGCTCTCCGTTAGGAGACTCTAGGATTCTCTTAGTGTTGCAGTGACCATTGCTTCTCGCTTTTTTGAGTACTAAAGACGATCATCTCGTAAACTTTGCCCCTGCAGTTGTAGAGGTAACACACGAGCCTTACTGCCCTCATTAGAAGGAGCAGAAAACTTGTTTCTCTGGTCCCTGGAAGAGAAAGGGTTAAGCGATTAAACAATTCTTTGTTCTAGTTCTTTTCTTGGTGTTGTTTTGTTTGGGGATCCTTGTGGCTTTGTTGTACCTTTCTGCTGTGTGAGGGTGGGTGGAGGGTGGGCTGGTTGGGCCAGCTGCTGTCTGTTCCTCAGAGGACAGAGGCTCCAGAACTGGCGTGGGAAGGGGCCTGGCGTGCCCAGAACGTGCCCAGGAGCCGCGGTGGCCACGGAGTCGGTGCTGAGTTGATGTGTCCGGGTTTGGGAGCGGGTCCGGAGCTGCCAGCGCTGGGGAGGAGAGGAGGCAGCAGGTCCTGCAGGGCTCAGGGGCTTTCTCAGAGGCAGCAGAACTCTCAAGTCCTGCTGAGGCCCCTGCTGGAGCCGAGAGCCAGGGACAGGCACAGAGCCCATCCTGCCGTGTCCCTTGGCCTGAGTCACGGAGCCAAGGTCACCTGCCTGAGTCACCCTTCCTGAGATGTCCCTGTGTCACATTCCCTGCCTTACACGGTGTGTCCAGCACCAACCTTTGCACCACAGATGTTCCTTTGCTAAAGGGTTTCACAAACTCGCTCTTTCCTCCAGGTCCCTGCTGCAAAACCTCCCAAACATTTCCTTGCTCTGCAAGCTGCAGGCCTTGAGGGAGAGCTGGAAAACCAGGCTGGTATTTTCAGAATCCATTTGAACTCTTCTCTTAAAAATTCCTGTTGGACACCTTTCAGCCGAAGGTCTTTTGAGGCCCCTTCGTTTCAAATCCTGTCTGATATAAATTATTGCTTTAAAAGGCAGCTCTGCTGTAACAAAGCAATGAGCATCCATAGCTGGAATTGGCAATCAGCTAATTGGGTCAGCTCTTGGAGTGAGTGGTTGGAAGCTGCGTGTTTGAATTGTGGGTGGAAATGGGTAGAAGGACCCAGAAAATTAGTTTTATTTGTCATTTGGATGAGAGGATTGGGTTGAGGAGGCAGAGGAGGGATATGCTCTGGGATGTGGGGGGAGGAACAGCCTGACTGACAAATTCACTTTTCTCTGATGGAACTGTTGGCAGCGCCAGCAACAGAACTGCAGCGGGCTGGGGATGGGTCCTGGGAGCAGAACGGGAGCAGGGTGTCGGAATCTGCCTGCTGTGGGTGCTGCCAGGGCTGGGGATGGGTCCTGGGAGCAGAACGGGAGCAGGGTGTCGGAATCTGCCTGCTGTGGAGCTCACCAGGGCTGGGGATGGGTCCTGGGAGCAGAACGGGAGCAGGGTGTCGGAATCTGCTGCTGTGGGTGCTGCCAGGGCTGGGGATGGGTCCTGGGAGCAGAACGGGAGCAGGGTGTCGGAATCTGCCTGCTGTGGAGCTCAGCCCTGGAGCTGCGGCGCAGGAGGGGAGATGGGGACCCCCTTTATGGCTGGAGAGGAGCTGGGCTTTGTCCTGGATTTCTGAGGAATCACCATGGCCAGCCCTTTGCTCGGTCGCTCCCAGGTGTGTCCCTTGTCCCCGCGGAGGTTTCCCTGTGTGTCACAGGGACAGGGAGCAGGAAAACGAGCTGCCCAGTGACAGGAGACAGAGAAAGCCCCGGGGGCTGGAGCTGGGGCCGGGGTGGCTCAGGGCCGCTCCTGGGGAGGGGGCTGAGGCTGGGCTGCCGTGGGGGTGTGAGCAGAGCCCCCAGGGCGGGTTTGGTTCCCGAGCGGGGGAACAGCAGAAAGCCAGCTCGGGCTGCGGGGCCGGGGAAGGACACGGGGCTGGTGTCCCCCATCAGCCCCAGCCCGGTGACATTTCCAGACATTTCCTCCTCGGCTGTCGGTGGCACGGGGGGGAGGGGATCTCCTCCTGGAGCGCCTGGCTCCTGGCAGTCCCTCTGATGCTGGAGCTGTCACAACAGGGAAGGTTCCCAAGGAAGCGCTGCCGAACAGGAGCTGGCCGGGCGCCGGCTGCTCCCAGCCCGTGCCCCGAGCCAGCCGCGGAACGGGAGGGGCCCGAACCCCGCCGGGCTCCGGGACAAGCCCAGGGCAGGCTCCAGGAGAGCGCTGGCACCTGCCGGGAGCGGGGACACGGCCCCTGGTCCTGCCGGGGGCCAGAGGAGCCACCGGGGGCCAGTCCCCGGCCAGCCCTTTTGTTTCTCCTCAAAGGAGCGCTCGCACAAACAATGATGGCACCATTCCTGCTCTGCACATCGATCCAGCGCTGTAGTCAGGCAAGAGAGCTGCAATAAAACCCCGGCCTTTAATTTTATGCATGGAGAACTTCTTACCTGCTCCCCCCTCCCTGTCCTCCCCCCCACCGCTCCTTTTCCAACTGCAGCTATTTTTCCCTGCTGACTTCAGGTGTTTTGTATTCCGCTTAGATCAATAGCAGCACAACAGCAGCAGCTTTCCAGTTGTCACTAGGAAGACCCTGCTGTCAGCTCAGCTCAGCCGTGCTCTGCCGGGGCTGGAGAACCCTTGTGCTTCCCTGACAGACACAAAGAGCTGCACAGCAAACCGGTGCTCTATTGATTTTGCTTTTAATTATTATTATTTTTTTTTTAATCCAGCCTGGGGAAAGCTGTGCTCTTCCCGAGCTGCAGCAGCCGGGTTTGCCTTCCTGCACTTGTTTTATGGGGGAGTGAAGTGTGTGAAGTGGCCCTTGCCCGGGCGGGAGGTGGCACACACGTCCTGCCGAGGCTGTCCCTGCGCTGTGGCTCTGCCAAGGAGCTGCTCCCTGGTGATATCCTGCTTAGCAGCCTCCCAGCCATGAGCAGGAAGAGCAAATCCATTGCCTAATCCCACAGACGTGCCAGGACCACATTAGCTGATGTGAACATTGGCCCTCATTCGTGGCTTTTTCACAATCTCTGATATTTATGTTGGCCTGGAGCAAATCAATGCCAGGGATTTTTTTCTTTGTCGAACAAAAAGCGTTCAGTGAAACACAACCTTTGTGTGCATCTTCCATCCCAAGTGCCAAAACGGAATCTCAGAACGTTAAGGGTTGGAAGGGACCTTAAAGTCCATCTCATTCCGAGCCCTGCCATGCACAGGGACACCTTCCCTTGGCTGCTCCAAGCCCCATCCAGCCTTGGACACTCTCAGGGACCCGGGGGCAGGCACAGCTTCTCCAGGCACCGTGTGCCAGGGCCTGCCCGCCCTCCCAGGGAAGGATTTCTTCCTCTTATCCAATCTAATTTCCTCACTTTCAGTTTGTACCCATTACTCTTTGTCCTAAAAGAGGAAAGCAGAAACTGAAAGCACCAGCCCTGGCTTTGCTCTCAAGTGTTGGATTTATTCAGCTTCCTCTATTTTGGAGGCTTCTGTGGTTCCTTTTCCCTCAGAGTGCTCAAGGGGAGTTGCTTTGGCTTGAGGGGGAGAGGCCACCTCGACAGGAGACTCCAGTGACATTTTCTGCTGCCCCAGGGGCCCCTCCAGATGGGAGGACCCCAAATGTGCCCCCTCGGAGGCGGGCAGGGGTCACCCATCTGCTGGGCTTCCCTGGAGGCCTCGGGAGCCGACGGCTCGGTGTGTCAGCGCCGTTCTGTCCCGCAACAGAGAGCATCCCTGGCCACACTCAGCCTGACAAGAGGGACAAGGCAGGGAAGGACACAGAGCAGGGAGAAGCCTTAGGCGAAAGAGAGGAGTGTCGGTAAAAAGCGGGAGCTGCAAGTTTGTGCTGAGTTTTGGGAACGGGATTTGTCTGTGCCCAAATCCGAGGCCGCCGTGGCTCTGCGTTGCCTCTGTGCCACACGCAGGAAAGGGCCAAGACTGTTTATTTTTATTCCCAACCCCCTGGCAGAGCAGCCTGACCCCACAGCTCTCCTGGAGAGCCTTGGCTGCTCCGTGTCCCGACGGGAATCACAGCTCCGGCCTCTGTGTCGGGAGGAAAGCTTCCAAGGAAAACGTGGAGGGCTGCAGAGGCTGGAAGGTGGCACGGGCAGTTCTCCTGCACCCCGGGGCAGAACATCCCCATCCCGGGCAGCCCTGACCTCCCTGCGCTTCCCTCTGCGCTCCCAGCGTCTCGTGGTGGGTGGAAATCTGCAATAAACACATTTCTCCAGCTTCCTCGTGTCGTTTGAGTTTAACTTCCGAATAAAGCATTGTTATTTTTCTAACCCTCTGCGAATGCTGCTGCTGCTGCAGCAGTTCCTCCCCTGTCCCGGGAGGCTCCGTGGGATGATGAGGATGAGGATGACAATGACGATGACGATGATGATGATGATGAGGATGACGATGACGACGATGAGGATGACGATGACGATGATGACAATGATTTCTGCTCCCGAGGGGCTTTAGGGGGCTCCTGCAGCTCCTGCCCGAGGGGGTCGCCCGGCAGAACGGGGCGAAGGCAGCGGGAGGGGCCGGCCCGGGGCTCCGGGGCTGGATTTGGTGCCAGACTGGGGGGCCTGGGCTGGGGCCCCGGTGCAGGTCCCGTTCCCTGCCCTGTTCCCAGTTCGGGTCCCATTCCCGTTCCCGGTTCCCTGTTCCCCGTTCCCATTCCCCATTCCCATTCCCCGTTCCCATTCCCGTTCCCGTTCCCTGCCCTGTTCCCATTCCCCGTTCCCGTTCCCCGTTCCCATTCCCCGTTCCCGGTTCCAGTTCCCCGTTCCCGGTTCCCGTTCCCGGTTCCCGTTCCCATTCCCCGTTCCCATTCCCCGTTCCCGTTCCCCGTTCCCATTCCCATTCCCATTCCCGGTTCCCATTCCCATTCCCGGTTCCCATTCCCGGTTCCCGTTCCCATTCCCGTTCCCATTCCCATTCCCGTTCCCGTTCCCATTCCCATTCCCGGTTCCCATTCCCGTTCCCATTCCCGGTTCCCGTTCCCATTCCCATTCCCGGTTCCCATTCCCATTCCCGGTTCCCATTCCCGTTCCCATTCCCGGTTCCCATTCCCGTTCCCATTCCCGGTTCCCATTCCCGGTTCCCATTCCCGTTCCCATTCCCATTCCCATTCCCGGTTCCCATTCCCATTCCCGTTCCCATTCCCGGTTCCCGTTCCCATTCCCGGTTCCCATTCCCGTTCCCATTCCCCGTTCCCATTCCCGGTTCCCATTCCCGTTCCCATTCCCATTCCCATTCCCGTTCCCATTCCCGTTCCCATTCCCATTCCCGGTTCCCATTCCCATTCCCATTCCCGGTTCCCATTCCCGGTTCCCATTCCCATTCCCATTCCCATTCCCGGTTCCCGTTCCCGTTCCCGGTTCCCGGAAGCGCGCGCGGGCCCGCCGGAAGTGACGCGCTGCGGGCGCGCCCCGGGCATGGCGGCGGCGGAGCCCGGGATGAAGCAGTTCAATGGCGGCGGTGGCGCCGCGCCGGACGCGGAGCGCGGCCGCTTCCCGCACTGCGTGGTCTGGACCCCCATCCCCGTCCTGACGTGAGCGAGGCGCCGGGGGCGCACCGGGGACGGGCGGCGCGGCGGGGGCTGGGCCCGGGACGGGACCCCCCTCACGTGTCCCGGGAGCCCCGCGCTCCTCTGGGAGCTCCCGCGCCCCTCTGCGTCCCCCTCCCCTTGTCGGGACCTTCTCCCGGCTCCCTCCCGAGCCCCCCGTGCCCTCCCGGCCCCTCCGCGGGGCTCGGTGCCGCGGGACCCCGTCCCGGGAGGGGCGATGCTGGGGAGGGCTCGGGGCCGGGAGAGGTTCGGGGCCGGGAGAGGTTCGGGGCCGGGAGAGGTTCGGGGCCGGGGAAGGTTCGGGGCCGAACGGCGCTGGCCCTGCGGCAGCGGGGACACCCCGGGACGTGCGGAGCCTCCTTCGGGCCAGAGGTTTGGCCGCTGGATGCGGGAGCGGCCGTGCCCGGGGGGAGGCTCCGTGTCCCGGGGGAGGCTCCGTGTCCCGGGGGAGGCTCCGTGCCCCGGGGGAGGCTCCGTGCCCCGGGGGAGGCTCCGTGCGCTGCTTCCCGTGAGTCGGGACCGGATTCGCCTTCCCAGGCTCGCCAGCCAAGTGTGGGCAGGCTCCAGGGAAAACTTGGGAGTTGTGCTCTGGCCGTGGGAACGGGGAAAGCTGTGGCTGTGGGGGCTGTCTGGGCACAGCGGGGCTTGTTTTTCCACCTTCCTCTTCCCCTCGGGTTCCGTCGGGTGATGTTTACCGAGCCCGCAGCCGGGTACAAGATGTGGTGTGGGGTGTGCCGGGATCGGGAGCGGCCCGGAGCTCTCCTCGCCCGGGAGAGGCTGCGCTTCCCCTCTTGCCGTCTCTTTCATCTCTTTCATCTCTTTTATCTCTTTTCTTTTTTGATTGCTTAACATTTTCACCTCAGCTTCTTCCTGGAGGATTTTCCAGAGCTTTTTAACATTCCTAACCCCACTGGGAGCGGCTGCCAGAGCCGCTCAGTCCCTCAGGGAGAGAGGAGAGAGAAATCGGGGAGATCAGCAAACCTGAGGATGCCAGAGCATGTGGGAGAGGGCTGGAACGTGACCTGGAGTGTTTCCTCCGAGGGCTAGTGATGGCAGGAGGCTGGCATGTGGGTCTGGGAAGGGAAAGGGTTTGGGATAGAGATGTGATGGGAAGGGAAAGGGTTTGGGATAGAGATGTGATGGGAAGGGAAAGGGTTTGGGATAGAGATGTGATGGGAAGGGAAAGGGTTTGGGATAGAGATGTGATGGGAAGGGAAAGGGTTTGGGATAAAGATCTGATGGTGGAAGGGGGTTGGGATAAAGGTCTGCTGCTCCCTCTGGCTGTAAATATCCATCAGGGAGAGGGTCTGTGAAACAATGGGATCCTTTAGGGGAGGGAATGCTCTTCTTAGAGCCAGGAGCTCTGTTTTCTGTCTGGAGAGCTTCAATCTAGGTTGCTGTGGAAAGGTGGGCAGGGTGACCTGATTTTTGGTTGCTGGAGTGGAAAGTCTGGTTTTATCCCAAGGCAGCTCCTCCAGGATCTGATCTTTGTGCTTGGCTGCACAAAGGGGTTTGTCTGGCTGGGCCTCGCCGGGAGGTGTGCAGGGCACTTTGGAGTGCGGTGTTCTGTTCCAGCCCTCCTGCCAGCGGAGCTGGGGCTGTTCCCTTGCTGCTTTCCCTGGTTTCTTTTCCAGCCCCCGCCTGGCTTTGGCTCCCACGCCTCCCCCTCGCAGCCGTGCGTGCCCTGGTGTGAGCAGGGACAGATCCTGACTCTCCCTGTCCTTGCAGGTGGCTGTTCCCCATCATCGGCCACATGGGCATCTGCACCTCTGCCGGCGTCATCCGCGACTTCGCGGGGCCCTACTTCGTGTCCGTGAGTAGCCGGGACCCCCTGGGGGCTTCTGGCCCTGCCTTCTCCAGCTCAAATAACGGCTCCAGGCCTTCTGGAGGAGCTGGGGTCGTTGCTGTTGCTCCACTGGAGCTCATTTGGGGGTGTGATAAATTATGGCTGGTTAGGTGAGGAGAAGGGGAAAAAAAAATCTTGTATTCCAAGCTCTAAATTTGGAGTTTAGGGCTTGAATTCTCCTATTTCTGGGGAGCAGAAGTGCCTTCAGCTGCCTCAGCGTGGTTGTTTCTGTCCTGCTGCTCAGCATCAGGTGTGTGCCAGGCCTCTTAAACTGCTGAGGGTCCAGGGGATTCTGAAAGTAAAGAGAGTTTTAATTTGGGGTAATTAATGCTCCTGATAGACTGGGACATTTGCAACCAAGAGTTAACAAAATATTAGCGCTTAAAAAAAAACCCCCAAAATAAAAGGAGGGGAACAAGGCACAGGTAGATAAATGATGTCACTGTGAGTGGAGTGTGGATATGGCCATGCCCAGTCCAGGAGTGTGGGAACAGTGGGAATCCAAGGCACAGCTGGGATTGGTGTCTGGGGCAGTTGGATCACTCAGCCAGCCAACTGTGAGACCTCCAGCTCCATCCACACCCTGAACATTGGCTCCATCCTCCTGAGACAGTTCTCCTTTTTGTTTCTTTTTGTAGGAAGACAACATGGCATTTGGGAAACCTGTGAAGTAAGTGCTGCCTGTTTAAACTGACCCCTGCAATTCCTGGGGACAGACGTGCTGTGACCTTGCTTTTCCTGCTGCTCAGCCGCCCTCCTTCACCTTGGTGTCTCTTCTGTGTCTCTGCTTTTCAGGAAACCACGTTAAATGAAATCTTTTTAGCAGCATGACAGCAGCGTGGTGGTGTTAATAACCAGAGCTGTGTGGAGCCTTTGTTAGAGAAAGGGCTAAGCCATCCTAAGATGATGTTAACAAGTGCTCTGAGTAAACACTGCGTGGCTGTGCTGATGAGCTGATGTCACTGACATCCTGGCAGTGCTTTGGGGACGGGAAGGGCCTGGCTTGGTGTCTCCCAGGTCAGGTTTGTGTTTAGAATGGCTGAGAGGCTCCTTTGGAGTGTGGGAGCAGTTGAGGGCTGTCCCCCTGAGCTCTGTGATTTGTCTCTCTGGGGTGCTGAGGGTTCTGAGCAGCCTTTCTGCTGCCTCTGCTTGTCTCCAGGAGCCAGGCTCCCTGCATTTCAGAGGCACTGGGCTTATCTGAGCCCTTTAAGTGTGTGCAGGACGAGGAATGGTGCTCCGTGATCCTCGTGGCTCCTCTGCAGCTCAGGAGACTGGGATTCCTCAGGGGAGGAGCAGGCAGAACAATGCAGAGGAAACTGTTCTCATCCTTGTAGGTACTGGAAGCTGGATCCCAGCAAGGTCTGTGCCACTGGTCCCAATGCCTGGGACACGGCCGTGCACGACGCGTCCGAGGAGTACAAGCACCGCATGGTACAGCTCCTGTCCTGGCTGGGAGGGGGGCAGGGAGGAGGGATCCCCCCAGAGGCTCCAGGGAGCTCCCAGAGGGATTCTGGATACCCCATCCCTGGAAGTGTTCAAAGCCAGGTTGGAGCAAGGAGCTTTAAAGTCCATCCAACCCAAACCGTCCCACGATTCCGTATCTCTGCAGTGGTTTGGGGGATCCCTCCCCAGTGTTTGGCTCCTTGTCACAGGACTGAGACGTGTGGCTGTCCACCAGGACTGGGAAACCTCAGGGACAGGATTTCTGACCCCTTTTTGTGTTCCAGCACAACCTCTGCTGTGACAACTGCCATTCCCACGTAGCCCTGGCCTTAAACTTGATGAGATACGATAACAGCACCTCGTGGAACATGGTGAAACTGTGCTTCTTCACACTCCTCTATGGGAAATACGTCAGGTGAGCTGAGGGACAGCCTGCATTTGGCAGCAGAAGGGGCTCTTTCCTTCTCCTGAGCCCTCTGAGGCATCCCCTGGCCCGTGGAGAAGGGAGGGACATCCCCCCAAGCCGTGGGTGTGTTGCTGCCGGGTGCTGCTGTCACTGTGCTGTGCTCAGCAGGAGAAGCAGCAGTGCCTGCTGGCTTGCACGAGGTGCTGCTCCCAAAATGCTGTTTCTGGCTGCTAATTTGGAGGGCCTGGAATTTGGGAAATGCTGGCTAGAGCAAATCTCACTCCGTGTTGTCTCCTGGCTGGGTTAGGTCAGAACATAAGGTCACAGGATGGCTTCTCTCCAAGGATTACTGCTTTCTCTCCCGTCTCTTGAATCTTGTTTACATAAAAACTGGTCTGATTTCCAGCTGCTGTGGAGCTTCCAACGAGTGGGGAGGGAAACCCCGAGCTTTCCTCAAGGAAAGGGTTTTGAATCTCCTTTTCAGCTCCTTGTGCCTGAAGAGCAGATTCTGTGAGGACTGCCCTGCATGAAGCTCCACTTCTGTGGAGTCTTCCTTGTTCTGGAGGAGCTTCTTTACCTGCTTTTGGGCAAGGACAGCTCCAGCTGTCTTGGATAAATCCACCAGCACTGGGAATAACAAGCCCTGTGGTAATGAGGTTTCATTTTCTGTGGCCTGTTACCATTCCTGTCTGTGCAGGTACGAAATGGGCTTGTCTTTGACTCAATTTAAGCTGGAAGGAGACTCCAGCCCTGTTTGTCATTTATTTATTGTGGTCCTGATTGAGTTTCAGTTTTTAACACTGAGTTTTCGGGATGGGGTGTGTGGCAGTGCCAGCAACAGGTAACAGGGGTCTCTCTCCCTCTGATTGCTCCAGTTATTCTCCCATCCTTTTGTCTCTGCTGATTTCTCACATTCAAACCTTCCCCCCTTTCCCTCCTGCAGCATAGGGGGGTTTGTGAAGACCTGGCTGCCCTTTGTGCTCCTGCTGGGGGTGATTGTGACCGTGGTTCTCACGCTGCACCTGCGGTGATGGCAGCCCTGGGCTCACAGAGGAACAGACTGTGGCTGATCCAGCGGGATGGAGGCCTGGGGCTCTGGGAGCCTTTTCCAGGGAAGGTGGCAGCCCCACTCCATCGTGACAGCTCATCTTCGTCTCCTGGAGCTGGCTTCTTCTCCCCCTGTTTCTGTTCTGTCGATGGTGTCTCCCAGTGCCAGGGGTCTGGGAGCTTCTGCTCTCTCCCTTTCTGCAGCTGGGGAGGTGGGAATGGATCAGGAAAGGAGAGGGGTGGGCACCTTCCCTTTCAGTGCTGAGAAAAGCCTCAAGGCAGACTCTGCCTCCTGCAGTGGCACACACAGATACACCTTGGGAGGGTCTCTCTGATCCCCTGCTTTCCTCCTGTCCCCAGATGCTTCCTCAAGTTCCCTGGCTCTCCAGCTGGGAGTTGCTGTTTTCCCTGTGGCACATCTCTGCAGTAGCACACGTTCCAGGGGGGAAGCGTGGGGTTCTTGCTGGGAGGATGGGGTGCCCCAGTGCTCGGGGCTGGCCCCAGCAGCGGAGGGAGGATGAGGAGGGGGACACTCCTGAGGGACACTGCCAGGGCCACCTGCCCCGGTGCTGCTGCTGGGCCTGGAAAGGCAGGAAAGCTGCAGGACTGCCTTGGGAACGCTGGGGCAGGGTGCAGCCCTCCAGGAGCCTGCTGCAGCGTTGGGAGGCAGCCCTTTGTCCCTTCTAGTGTCCAGAGAAAATATCCCTGCTCCTCCCTGTGCTCTCAGTTGCTAAATCTGGCGCTGCAATCCTGACAAGCCACTTGTTTCCCTTTGATCCCCGAGTCTCGCAGGCAGAGCAGGGGCAGAGAGGCTGAGCCTGGGGCTGCAGAGAGGAGGGGAAGGCGCTGGGAGCTGCCCATCTGGCTGGGGTTGCAGCAGCACAGGCCCCTGGCTTTCTCCTGGCTGGTGCCAGGTGGGGATTGAGGAATGGTTTGGGGAGCTGTGGGCAGCACAGCTGGGCACAGGTGTGTGCAGGGCTTGGTGTGAGGAGCAGGATGGGAGGGGGGCTGTCCCTGAACACCAGGCAGGAAGGGAGTTTGGATGTGACCTGGAACCCCTTTACAGCTCTGCAGAGCTGATTTTGGAGGGCTCTGAGCCAGGGGGAATTTTAAAACCAAGCCTGGCTGGAGGGCCCTGTGCAGCTGAGCAGGTCCCTGCTGCCTGCAGAGGGGGAGAAGAGCTTTTCCACTCACACCTGAAAAACCAGCTCATACTCCAGTAGCTGATGGATTCCAAGGAATCCATTTCAAGGAGTGCTTGTGGCCAGCAGGAAAGCTTTTCTGGGGTCCCTGCCATGTCTGCAGCTTCCTCTGACTGGGAGCCCACCCACTGTCAACCTGCTGGTTTTCAGACCCCTCCCCATGTGCTTCTGCCGCGTCCCTGACTCCTCCAGCCATCTGGAGACTTGGACCCTCCTCTTGAGCTCGTTTCTGTGTTTTCCCCTTTTCCTCAGTCACTTTTAAATCAGCCCTCGTGCCTCCTGCTCATTGTTGTCCCTCTGTCCCCCCATGGTGGCCTTCCCCATCAGCCTGGAGCTGGAACGCTGCGGTGGCTGCTCCTTTCCGTGGGATGGGGGCTGCTGGGCCTGGGGCTGCCTGGATGCCGAAATCCTGATCAGAGAGGCCCTGGATGAAAGGACAGAGTGTTCTGAGCTCTGTTCTGTGCCCAGGAGCCGCTGCCCAGGGCGAGCCAGCGGGTGGGAGAGGGGGATGCCTTCCTTCAGTGCGATTCCCTCGAGTGCCCGGCCCCGGGGCTGGATCCTCCCTCAGCAATAACCTCGGCCCGTCCCGTGTGTGTTTTGTCCACGAGCTCTACAAGAATTGCCAAAGCTGAGACTTGGGGGTGTCAGGGGGCCCCTGGACTTCCAAAACCCCGCTGTGAAATTCCCTCTCGTTTGCTCCCGATGCTTTTTACCAGAGCGGAGTTTGGAATGGTGAGGCCGAGCCCCCATCCCTCATCCTTTGTTCCCTTCATCTCCGCGGGGCGCTGGATTTCTTTGTAAATATTTAAACTCTGCTTCTGTGGTTTCGTAATCCCGACGGCAGGGAAATAAACTGATTTCTGTGGATATCTCCAAGTGCTGGATCTCTTCCCTCCGCCCAGCCCTCAGCCAAGAGCGGGGTTGGGATTGGGATCTCCCCCCTCCACCGAGCCCTGGCCTCTCCTGCCCAAAGGAGCCGGATCCTGAAGCCTTTGGCTGTGTGAACTCTCCTTTTCCCCGCTCCTGGGAGAACTCACGGCCCTGCTGCTGGGAAGGTTTGGGGGCAGGAGAATTCCCCATCCCTGCAGTGCAGGAGGAGTTAGTGGGATTTAGTGCCGGGTCTGGACGCCTGGGCAGGGGCAGCTGAGCGTTCCAGGGTGGGAGATGGATTTTTCCCAAGGTTGATTCCCCTCGGCTGTGAACAGCTTCCCTTTTGTCTCTCCTGTGTCCTTTTTCTGGGGGGCACTGCTCTCCCAGCTCCCTTCCCAGCCCGGGGTCCCCCAAATTCCCCGGGGAGGGGACGCCTGTCCTGGCCCTGGGGCTGCCCGGAGCAAAGAGCCAGACTCGTTTTCCCCTCTCCCAGCAGGAGCTGGGAGCAGGGAGAGCTGTGCCTGCTGACTGCAGATGCAGCCACCGATTTTCTGTTCCATCTGATACCCAGAGGCTGGAGCTGCAGGGGGGAGTGCATCAGCCTTAAAATTAGGTTGTGTCCAAGGCCAGGGGATTTCATGGTGCAGCCATTTTATGGAAAAGCACCTGGATCCTCCTGCTCAGCCCCTCCAGGCGAGCAGCCTCAGCTCCTGCGGGCTGGCAGGCGGCTCCGAGGGTTTATCCCGCACACATCTGTCCCGAGGTGAGGTGAGGATGCCAAAGCCCCGGGAGTGCAGGGGGCCCTCCCCGCCTGCCAAGCCCGGCAGGATTTTCCAAGCAGTCCCCTGCTGCCGGGAGCCGCAGGGAATGCGAGAGGGATGTGGCTCGGCTCCCGGAATGCGGGGATTCGAGGGAAGCAGCCGGGCTGAGCGTGCCCAAACCGTCCCGGACCGGAGCCCGGCCCAGGGCAAGAGACCACAGAGCCAGCCCTGGGAGCCGGGGATGGGATGGGATCCATGGGATGGGATCGATGGGATGGGATGGGATGGGATGGGATGGGATGGGATGGGATGGGATGGGATGAGATCCATGGGATGGGATCCATGGGATCCATGGGATGGGTTCTATTGCAGCCACACATGGCCTGAGCCCTCATCCCCGAGTGGCCGAGTGTGACTGAGCTCTGCCCCACCAGGGCTGGGAGCAGGGCTGGGGGTCTCTGACCTCCCTCCCGTGGGGAGTCAGGAATGTCACTGCCTTTGAAGTGGGGTCACTTTCCTGCAGCTGGCCGGAGGGGAGGGGTCCCAGGGGTCACCCCCTTCGGGGGGCAGCAAGGGGCTCCCCCAGCAGCAGAATCCTGCTGCACTGGGGTGCACTGGGGCCGTGGTGCCTCCCAGGCTGTGGATCCCTCCTCATCCTCACGCCGTTGTTTCCCAGGCAGGGGAGGGGAAGGGGTGCAGGACCCAGCTCTGGCCTCCCAGCCAGGCCTTGGATGTCATTCCCAGACTTGCCTGTACCTCCCGGACCCGAGGAGCAAGTCCTGGAGGGGAGCAGGGCTGGGAGCAGGCCGGGACTCGCCTGGCTCGGGGCTGCCCACGCAGCACCCGCACGGGACAGGAGCTGTCCTGAGCTGTTCGTGAGATGGACGCTGCCACTCCAGGAGCCAGCTGCACGGAAAACCATCCCCGAGCACCTGGCTCGGGGTGCTGGGGGCCTGAGCTGTCCCTGCCTGTCACCGGCTGCCGCTGGCTTGGTGCAGCCTCCGGCCCCACCCGAGGCCCAGCTGCACCTCTGTGCCACCAGGGATGGGACACCCTGCAGGATGTGTCCCACCTTTCCTCACACCCTTCTCCATCCCATGAATGTTCCTCGCTCTGGATGTTGCAGGAACAAAAGGTCCAGGATGCCCAGAATGGGCTCGGTGCCAGCCTGGGGTGACCCAGAGCTGAGCCCCCCGCACACGAGAAGCCCTTTGGGGACTCAGGTGTCCTCACATCATTGTTCCCCCGCTGCACAGGCCTGGCTGCATTCCCAGGACAGCCATTCCAGGGATCCCATTCCTCTGGGACCCCCCAGTGCCCTGCAAGGGCAGAAAGAGCGGAGCGCCCACGGACAGACACACGAAGCCACTGCTGAAGTCTCATTTCCTGAGAAACCGGGCTAAAAATAATCCCCTTTTCTTGTGGTCCTGTGCTCGGTATGTGCTGCCATCTCACATTAAAGCTGGGGGGGAGCCTGACCCCCAGCCCCAGCCAGCTGCTCTCTCTCTGGCACTGAGGGAAACTGAGGCACAGGTCCTGCTGTGGTGCTCCTGCCCGGGTTTATCCCTGCCTGGCACTGCTGGCCCGATCCTGCGTGGGGCTGAGCACCCGGGATGGACCCCCGGCCATTCAGAGCTAGATGGAATTGTTCTAGGATGGGGTTGTGGGGCTGGATATATCCGTGGGACAGGGACTGTGGGGCTGAGGGGAGCCATGGGGTGAGAACCACGGTTTGAAGAGGAGGCTGGGGCCGTTCCATAGGCTGGGAATGCGTTCTGGGATGGGAGCCATGGAGCCAAGGACACCCTGGGGGATGGGGTCCTGCAATGTCCCAGGGACCTGATGTTGCTCCACACTGGGCTTTTGGGGCGGGGGGCTGCAGGGGGCTGCATGGGGCAGATGTGCTGCTCCCCCCGTGCCCAGCACAGACCAGTCCCCCCAGTTCCCCCAGTGCAGCCCAGGGGCTCTCCCGGGAGCCCCAGAGCCACATCCTGCCCCCACCCCCCGTGTGACACCAGGGTGGGACATCTCCCACCCCATCCCTTCTCCACACCCTTGGCTTCGGGCCTCTACCGGGTTTGGGGTCCCCCTGCCCGGGGCGCATCCCCACTGCGCCACCCCTTCCCGGGCCTGACGCCTCCCAGTTCAGCCCAGTTCAGCCCAGTTCAGTCCCGTCCGGCGGGTGCTGCCGGCTCCAGTCCCTGCTTTCCTGCCGCCGGGCGCGGAGGCGCTCGCAGGGCTGCGCTTGAGTCACCCCGGGCACAGCACCCAGCCGGGGGTGGGACCGCGGCCACCGCGCACCCACCACGGTCCCCGTGGGGCGCTGGGGGGGCGGGCGAGCCTCGGAGCTCCCGGCACCTGGGCAGGTAAGGGGGGGCGTGGGGCTGCAGCGGCTCCTGGGGGTGCGGCCCGGCTCCTCTCGCCCCGCTCGGGGGGGGCGCACTGCCTCCCCCCCCGCTCTGCTCCCCAGCGCAAGGCTGGGCTGGGGGCTGCGGGTCACGCGCTCAGAGCTGACTTTCCTTGTCCCCACGCTGTGACCGAGGCCTGAGGCCCCCGTGATGGGGTCCCTGGCTCCGGGGGGAGGCGAGGGTGTCCCGGGTGTCGGGCAGCCCCGGCTGTGCTGGATCTGCCGGGATCTGCCGGTTCCTGGGGGCGGTGGGGTCCCCCGGGAGGGGCTGGGAGTGGCTGCGTTTTGGGGACGGGGTGCGGGGGGTGTCTCACGCCGTCCGGACCCCCTCTTCATCTTGTCGGGCTGCCTGCGATGAAAAAAGGGGGACGTGCACCCCCACCCGCTGTGGCTCGCTGGGGAGGTTTAACTGGTTTGACTGGTGCCCCGTGCGGGGTGGGGGCCCGGGTGCCCAGCACCCCCCTGCGCACCGGCGGGGCTCTGGGGCTTTTGTTTTGGCTCGGTTTTGGGGACCCCAGCGGGAGCTGGGCACCAGGGCAGCCCCTGGCTCACAGCGAGGTGCCGTTTTTAGGTGGTGGCTCTGTTCCGGGGTGGGGGGACCCCCCCCGAGTGGCGGCGGTAAACAGGATACGAGCGGAGGCGGCGGGGACACAGCGGCAGCGTCACCCCCGCCCCGGGGACAGCCGGTTCGTGTCCCCCAGACCCCTGCGGGGCGGGTGGGGGTCACGGGCTCCCCCGAGGGGCTCCTGCTGGGGCTCCCCTGCGTGTCATGGGGGTCCCTGGTGCTGGTTTGCTGCGGGCTGGGCCGGGGCCGTGCTCACCCACCGTGCTCAGGTGCTGGGGGTGTCTGAGACACCTGCGGGGCGGGGACAGGACCCTCCGAGGGGCTGGGGACAGGCTGGGACAGGGCCACCCGTGCGGCGGGGTCAGAGTCTCCTTTGGGACTGGGAATGGGGCACTGGTGGCGGTGGGACACCCCAGCAGCGGCTCTGGGGGGGCCCGGGGGGGTCCAGGCTGATCCTGTCCCACGGCTGCTGCAATTTCCTGCCCTCGGTGACAGCAGGCAGCGCTTTCCCAACAGCGGGGACAGGAAGGGCCGTGGTGAGGCAAGGCCGGGCATGGGGCAAGACCCCTCTGGGAGATGCGACGAGCCGAGTCCGGTCTCAGCCTGGTTCGGTCTCAGCCCATCGTGGCGGCAGCCGAGCCTTTCTGCCATCTGTCCGTGTTCCCTGGCACCCGGTGAATCCCTGGGAAAGCGGGCAGGGCAGAGCCGGCCCTGAGCAAACACGCTGGGCAAACACAGCCCGCGGGCAGGGTCCCGGCAGCGGGCAGGGCTGGGCTGGCACGGAGCGGTGCCCCCGAGCCCGCCCTTCTCTCGGCACCCTCGGCATCGTCCCGCACCTCCTTTGTGCCCGGTGGGGTCGGCGGGTGTTGGGGGTGTGGGCTGAGCTGCTCCCCCATGTCCTTTCAGCAGGATGAGCGGGGGGGACCCTCCCCAGCGGCCCCGAGCTGCCTCTCCAGATGCTGGCATCGCTGGTGCACGCCCGGCACGCTGAGCCCCCCTTGTCCCCGGGCGGGCCGGACCCTCGGGGTGTCCCCGCCGTGTCCCCGGGCCCTGCCATGGCTCTGGAGCCCGAGGCGCTGCTGGACCTGAGCTTCCTGACGGAGCAGGAGCGGAGCTCCATCGCCGAGGTGCTGCGCCGGGACTGGCAGCTCCGGCGGCGAGAGCAGGGACGCATCAGGTGGGCTGGGGGTCCCTGCTCGGCCTGACCCACGGGGACAGCACGGACCCCCCCAGAGCAGCCCCGGGGACAGAGCGGCCAGGCTGAGGGTCCCCTCTTCCCCTGGTGATGGGGTCACCCACTGCGCTCCGCCACGGCGGCGCCCCTGGCCCGTCCCACCGGCACCGAGGGTCCCAGAGGTCCCGGGAGGGGGTGGCTGCTGTCCCCCGGCCCTGCAGGGCGGCCGCAGCGACTGGGAGAGCTCCGGGGCAGCGGCTCGGTGCCGGTGGCGGTGCCAGGGCGGGGGTCCCAGTGTCCCCCTCCCGCCCACCAGCAAACTCCGCAAGTCGGTGTCGGACCCGGCGCGGCTGCGGAGCCTCACCGGGGACTGGTTCTGCGACGCCCGCGCCCAGCGGCACCAGCAGCAGCAGCTGGGCTCCGACCTCGTGCGAGCCTCCATCCGCCGCAGGAGGCGGCCCCGGGGTAAGCCAGGGAACGTGGCCGGGGCTCAGGGAACGCGGGGCCGGGGCTTGGCCCGCTGAGCTCCCCGATGTCCCCAGGAACGGGGGGCCTGGAACGCGGCCCCGGTCTGGGCGAGCTGGAGGCCATTGATGAGCCGCTGGCAGAGGAGAAGGAGGATGAGGATGGTGCGTTGGAGACGGACGAGAGGTGAGGGAAGGAAGGGTCAGCCCACAGGCGCCCCGGGGCTGGTGGCACCTTACCGGTACCCACTGGGGGTGGCACAAGGGGCTGGAGGGGGAGCAGGACCCCTGGTGAAGGGGATGGTGCAGTCAGGGCCGGTGTCTGCCCATCATTGCGGGGTCTGGTTTCCCACCACCTGTCCACCACTGTCTCCCACCATCCCGGTGTCCGTCTGTCCATGATCCCAGTGTCTCCCACCATCCTGGCATCTGTCCACCATCCAGACCAAGCTAACCGTGCTCTCTTCCCACAGCTCCCCCCCAGAGGAGGTGCAGGAGGCCACTGAGCCCCAGGTGGGTCCCTGCTGTGGGGCTGAGGGGTACCTGGCACCCCGCTGTTGGTGGGGTTCACCCTGCAGCACCCCCAGCCCCATCCCAGGGTTGTGCTGTGCTTGGAGTGATCCTGAACGCTGGGGAGTGATGGGAAGTGTCCCACGGAACATCCCACGAGGTGTCCCATGGGCCATCCTGTCCCCAGGAGCACAGAGGGCTGGGCTGGGGGACGAGGGGGTGCCCGGGGTCCCGTCCTCACCCTTTCCCTCACAGCCCGGCCCCCCCGCCCCGGCTGAGGAGGGGACCCCGATGTCACAGGCGCTGCTGCAGGGTGACAACCTGCTGAGGGAGCGGGACAGCCCGGCCCAGCCAGGTAACTGGGAAGGGGGTGGGTGCAGCGGAGGTGTGGGGGGCTGCAGCCCCCCAGCACTGCTCACCAGCCTCCTCCTGCCCCCCCTGCGGCTCTTCTCGCTGCCCTGGCCAGAAAAGCGATCCCCCTCCCACCGCCCCTTGTCCCTGCAGGCGAGTCGGGAGCTGGGAGCGGCTTCGGCTCGTCCAGCACGGAGGAGGATGAGGAGGAGCCGGACTCGGCTCAGGGCGACCACGCTGGGCAGGTGGGACGGGGGCTGGGGTGGGGGTTGGTGGGGCTGTGTGGAGCTGGGGGGGCTGGAAGGGATTGGGGGAAGCTGGGGAGGGTTGTAGGAGTTTTGGAGAGGGTGTGGAGGGGTTTATAGGGCTGCAGGCTCTCAAGGGGGCTTTAAGGGGTTGAGGGGCTCTATGAGTTTGGAGGGCTGGAGGGGTCTGTACAAGGTTGGAGGGGGCTGTGTGGGGTTTTGGGGGCCTGGGGGGACTGAACAAAGGCAGTGCAGGATGGGCTGTAGCCAGGCACCGAGAGCTGGGTGTCCTCAGTGAGTTTGCAGGCCCAAGAGGGGGGATGCTGACCCCTCTTTGCATTCCCAGAGACCAGAGACCCCCGAGCCGGATCAGACCCCCCCAGCCCCTCTGTCCCCACAGAACGGCCACACTCCCCCGAGCCTGCTGAGCACCAGCTCCTCCGTGTCCAGCCTCAGCTCCTCCACGGTACGGGGCCGGGGCTGGGCGGGGGGCGCGGGGGCACCTCCCCAGCCCCCCTGAGTGTGCCCCCCCTGCAGCTGAGCGGGAGCCTGATGAGCCTGTACAGCGAGGGGGAGCTGGGCAGGGTGGCCGTGCGGGGCTGTGTCCAGTTCTCCCTGCGCTATGACCCGGCCAGGAAGGAGCTGCAGGTGCACGTCCTGCGCTGCCGGGAGCTGGCCCAGGCCAGGAAGCAGCGCTCGGACCCGTGAGTGCCCCAGCCCCCCCTGGCACTGCCCACTCTGGCCCCCACCGCCCCCAGCTCCATTTTTGGCCCCAGGTACATCAAGACGTACCTGCTGCCGGACAAGTCCAACCACAGCAAGCGCAAGACCGCCGTGAGGAAGAGGAGCTTGGATCCCGTCTTCAATGAGACCCTCAAGGTTTCTCACCCTCCTTTGGGGTGGGTTTGGAGGGTCCCCACGGTTCAGGCTGGGTGGGTGGGAGTGGGGAATCTCAGCCTGTGTCCCCTCCCCGCCAGTACAAGCTGGAGAAGAGGGACCTGCAGGGCCGGACCCTGAACCTCTCCGTGTGGCACCACGACAGCCTGGGCAGGAACCTGTTCCTGGGGGAGGTGGAGGTCGCGCTGGGCTCCTGGGACTGGGCCAACACTCGCCCCGAGTGGTTCAGTCTCCAGCCACGGGTGAGCTCCTCGCCTCCCCAGCCCCCCCGCTCAAGCACTGCCCCCGTAACCCCCCCGTCCTCCTCAGATGCCCATCCCCTCCGACGGCCTCGCCAGCCGGGGCAACCTCAACCTGGCGCTGAAGTTCCTCCCCGCTGGCTCGGAAGGTGAGAGGGGCCCGTGTGGGGCCGGGGCTCGGCTGTGGAGGGGTGCCCTGACCCTTCTGGCCCGCAGGAGGGGGGATGCCGCCCACGGGGGAGCTGCACATCTGGGTGAAGGACGCTCAGAGCCTCATCCCGCTGCAGAGCGGCACCGTGGACGCCTTCGTGCAGTGGTGAGGGGGGGTGACAGCCTGGGGGCTCCCAGAGGGGTGCTGGCTGTGCCCCCCTCACCCCGGTGTCCCCCCAGCTACGTCCTGCCGGATGACAGCAAGGCGAGCCGGCAGAAGACGCGGGTGGTGAAGCGGAGCCTGAGCCCCCTCTTCAACCACACCATGGTGTACGACGGCTTCCAGGCCAAGGACCTGGCCGAGGCCTGCGCCGAGTTCACCCTCTGGCACCACGAAACCTTCTCCAAGCGCCAGCTGGGCGGCATCCGGCTCAGCCTGGGCACCGGTGAGGAGGAGGGGTCCTCGGGGTGTCCCCAGAGCCCCAGGGTGCCCCCAGCATCCCAGGGTGTCCCCCAGCTCCTCAGAGTGTCCCCCGTGTCCCTGGGTGTCCCCAGCATCCCTGGGTGTCCCCCAGCTCCTCAGAGTGTCCCCAGTGTCCCTGGGTGTCCCCCAGCTCCTCAGAGTGTCCCCCGTGTCCCTGGGTGTCCCCAGCATCCCTGGGTGTCCCCCAGCTCCTCAGAGTGTCCCCCATGTCCCTGGGTGTCCCCAGCATCCCAGGGTGTCCCCCAGCTCCTCGGGGTGTCCCCAGTGTCCCTGGGTGTCCCCCAGCTCCTCGGGGTGTCCCCAGTGTCCCCAGAGTCACGGCTGGGGGTGACAGGGTGCTCTCTCGGCAGGGAGCAGCTATGGGCTGCCCGTGGGCTGGATGGACTCGACGCAGGAGGAGCAGGGGGTGTGGAAGCAGCTGCTGCAGCAGCCCGGGCACTGGGTGGAAGCTCTGCTCCCCCTGAGGACCAACCTGGTCCCCCGGGTGTAGCCCCCAAGGAGCAGCTGGTGCCGGTGGGACTGAGGGGTCTGAGGGATGGGGACCTGGGACTGTGCGGGCCGGGGTCTGTGCCCTCCTCTTCCAGCAGCAATGAAGTGGCACCAGAGGGAACATCTGGCGGCTTTTCCTTGCTGTGGGCACATCTGGTGCCCGTTAATTGCACAGGCCACCATACCCTGACTTCTCCCTCCACTGTGGGGCTGCAGCTGCTGCGTCCCACTGCTCCCAGTGTGGGGCTGTGCCCTCCAGCACCGGCCTTGTCACAGCCCTGGCTGGGGTGAGGGGGTCACTGCTCTGGGGGATGCCCCTTTTCCTACTGGGATACCCCACACTGGGCTGTCCTGTCCCACTGGGACACCCACCCTGGCTCCCTGGCACTGGGCACTGCAGTCACCTGGGACCACCCACCAATTCCACCCTGGGGCCAGGAACAGCCGAATCCCCAGGGCTTTTTCTGCAACCAGAATCTGCCAGGACAGCCCCCACCGCTGGGGCTTTGGAGGGGCAGGAGGTGGACGACAATGACAATGACACCAGAAATTACAGGAAAATCCTTTATTGGTTTCTGTCCCCCCTGTTCCAGCTCGGGCTCTGCCTGGTGTGGGGCTGGGGCCAGCAAAGGGTCCCCCACTGCCACCACGGCCGCGTGTCCTCTGATTCCTGGATGCCCCTGGCCTCCCGGGCATCTGGCAAGCGCAGGGTGGGGCTGCAGGTGGAATTCAGGGTGGGATGGGCCCCCCGTGCCCCCCCTGCATCCCCTGGGAGCAGCCCCGGAGCATCCCCGGGCAGGCCCGGGTGACAGGTGCCACCCCGCTGTCCCCAGCTTTGCATAGTCGTGGTGTGGCCGTGCAGGGGGACGGTCCGGCTGTGGAAAGGTGACCCCAGCAGGGGCCTCTTCACCCGGGGAGGACGGGGCCAGCGACCCCCCCAGCCTGGAGGCTCGGGGACCTCAGATCCTGGTGCATTAGACAGAGAGGAGACACGAAAGGTCCTGGGGGCTCCACCCTGGGGGTCCCGGCCCCTTCAGCCCCACGGGTGCTGGGGTGTCCCAGTGCCCCCCCCCACCTCGGGAAGGGTTGGACTGCGGGGGGGGGTCCCTGCAGCCCCCAGGCACAGCAGCCCCCGACACAACGCAGACACCGCCTGGCAGAGTTTAATGGGGGCAGCCCGAGCTACAAGTGTCACCCCACGGCACACGACACGCAGCCCCCTCCCCAAAAGAGCACACAGAAGGAGGGTGGGGGAGAGGGACCCCCCAAGCCCCCCCAGAGCACACAGAGGCACAGCAAAAGCACACAGCAAGGCCCTGGGCCCGCTCCTCCGGCGGGGGCGGGGGGCTGGGGGGTGGCAGGGCGTGGTTGGGTGCTCCAGCCACAAAATGTGAGAGGGAAAAGCACCCAAGAGCCCCGAGGGGAAGAGGGGACCCCCAGCCCCAGGAGGCTGGAGGCTGTGGGGAGGCAGCAGGGCAGGGGGCAGTGGGAAGGGGGCTCCTGGGTGCTTGCTGGGGCCAAACTGGGGCCAGACTGGGAGCCCTGGAGTTCCCGTGCTGTCAGGGAGGCTCAGGGTGAGGGGCTGCACCCCGCTGGGGTGAGGTTGGGGGCACTGGGGACCCCTCACCCCCGTGGCAGAAGGGGCTGTACGGGGCTGCAGCCCTGAGGGCTCCGTGCCGAGAGGGGGTGGGGGGGACCCCCTTCCCTTCCATCCCCAGCAACTCCCAGGAAACGCCAAAACCAGTTGGGAAACCCCAAAACCAGTTGGGAAACCCCTGCCATGCAAACCAGGAGGGAGGCTCCACGCCGCCCCTGCCCGGGGAGGTGTGAGGGAGGGGTGAAGCTCTGGGAGTGCCGGGGGACACCCCCTCCCCACTGCCACCAGCACCCAGAACCTACTGGTTGTCCTCTCTGGCAGCGTGGGAGGAAAGAGAGAGGGGCACGGCCCCCACATCAGACACGGCAGCACAGAGCAGCACCTGAGCCAGCTCTCAGGGACATCTGGGGCCCTCCCGCTCCTCGTGGGGCTCAGAGCCAGACCCAGGCAGGCAGTGACAGACAGAGGACGTGGCAGGACAGCCGGACAGCAGCAGGGGGACACGAACCCCTCCATGTCCCTGATGGCCCCCGCAGGGTGAGGAGGGGTTGGCACAAGGAGCCGGGGGACACAGCGGAGCGGAGAGACGGGACACGACCCCAGAGCGACCCCAGGCTGGGCTTTAAGGGTGGGCTCGGCCCGGGGCCCCCATCCCGGATCCCGGCGGGAGCGCGGGGCCCTTACAGAGTTTGGTAGGTGCTGTCCTTGGATTTGATGAACTTGATGATGAAGAAGGCGACGGCCTGGACGCACAGCACCAGCACGATGCCCCCGATGAAACTCGCCGTGTCGAAGCCGGGCGGGTGGAACTCGGGGCTGCCCGTCAGCGGGGCGCTGCTGGTGGTGGTCCCTGGTGGCCGGGGAAAATGGGAGGTTTGGGGAGTTCTGGGTGCTGTTGGCATCCCTGAGCACAGACATGTCCCCCAAAGAGAAGGGATTTGGGGTCTGTGAAGAAACCAGTGGCTGCACAGGGAGGAATGGTGGGATGCCCCCACCAACACGTGGATGCTGGGACAGGCTCAGCCCCTTCCCATGCCAGAGCAGCTGGAGCTGCAGGAAAGGAGCCAGTGGCAAAAAGATCCCAGCGGGATCAATAATTCAGCAGGCTCCAGGCTCCAGTTACCTGCTGTAATTAGCCCAGAGCTCTCCAGTTCCCCCTTACTGGAAGAGGCTCCTTCTCCACTCCCAGCCAGGCTGGAGGTGGCAATTCCCAGCAAGGATGGAATCAGGGCTTGTTCCTGGGGGGCTGATGGGTGCCTGAGTCCCTGTATTGTTGGGTGCAGAGAGGGGACAGGGACACAGCTGTGACCTGGGACAGTGGCGCATCCCTTGATCCAACCCTGAGGGCAGCTCCACTCATCCCTCCCAAAGGGATGTGAAATAGAGAGGGAAGGGCCTTGTTGGGACGAGTCACTGATCCCTGGTACATCCAGGACCCCCATCCCACTGCCCCCCTCCCCTCCCCAGACCCACTCACTTGTGGAGTGTGTCACTGGCTCCTTGCTATGGGATCGTGGAGGCTCCTCCGTGTGGGACTTCAGTGCTGGAGAAGGTGGGGACAGAGGGAAGGGGTGGCAGGGGACATTTCCACACGCCCCTGCAACCCAAGTCCCTACCCCCGTGGCCCTGGCACCCCCAGCAGCGCCTCTGTCCCGAAGCTCAGAGGGTCTGGGGGGGTTTGGGGGTCCGGGGTTACCTCGGCACTGGGTGCTGGTGTTGTAGAGTGCGCAGGCGTCCCTCACTGCTGACCCTCTCTGCTCACAGCTCCCTGTTTCTGCGGGAAGAGGGAGCAGAGTTTTCCCGAGGATCCCAAACCGGTGCAGACAGTGGTGGTCAGGCCCAGGGCTGCCCTGGGCACCCAAGGGTTTGGGATGAGGAGGCTTCGTTCCCAGGGCTGGGCATCCACTGAGGGTCTGGGAGTGGGGGCTGCACCCCCGCAGGGCAGAGCCCCAAAGAGAGGTTTGGAAACAGCTGAGCTGGACCTTGGCCATGAAAGCAGCTGGGAATGGGCATCCAAGGGAGCCGAGTGCTGACACCATCCAGGCACAGCCCCGGTCCAGTGATGGGGGCTGGGGAGGGGCTGATGAGAGCCCCTCTCTGTGTCCACCCAGCTGAGCCCCTCACCTGGCTCCTCGGGGGTCCCGCAGCCCACCCAGACGCAGTCGGTGCCGTTGTGGGAGTGGCTGCTGCCTGTGCACATCTCGCAGGACCTCAGCTTGCCACACTCTCCTGCCAAAGCCGGGGAAAAGCGATGAGGCAGGGCCAGCAGCCCTCCCTCCGGCTGCAGCGTGGGGGCTGGACCCCCGGCTCCATGGAGGGACAGTTCTGAGGATGCAGCAGGAGGGATGAAGGCACATCCCACAGCACCAAACCCAACAGCACCGTGCCGACGGGCTGCTCGTAGCATCACCAGCCCTCCAGCGAGGGGACACCCCACAGCCCCAGCGCCCACCCAGTTCACACAGGGCTCACCCATCACCCACACCGCAGGAAACATCCCCCAGCACTGGGATCTGGGATCTTTCGGTGGAGGCTGAAGTGGGATGAGGCGGCAGCACCAGCCTGCTCGGGGTTACCTGAGCCATGTCACCCCTCTGCCCACCCAGGCCACCCTGCAGGACCCCCCCCGTCCCCATCGGTGAGCCGGTGAGTCACCCTGGTGTTTGCGGAGCTGCTCTTCCCCCACTCTCGCTCATCATTAATTTACAACGCTGGCTGGCGGCGAGGGAGGCTGCGAGGAGCCGCGGCCGGGCCCTGCCCGCACCTCGCTGCGTCCCACGCCCGCGTTTGCAGCATCCCGGGAAAGAGCCGGGAGCCGTTCCCCAGGCTGGATGTGTTTCCAGGCTCCCAGGGGCAAAGCCTCTCCTCGCGGGGCTCGCTGGAGGCTGTGGCACGCTGCCATCCCCCTGGGCTGGCTCCCCAGGGGACGCAACAAGCACCAGGCATCCCTGCCGGCAGCGCTTCCCATGGCACCGCTTCCCTCCGGAGGCACCGCCTGCAGGCCCCCGGCTTTGAGGGGTCCCTAAAAACCACGCGCGGCTGATAGAGAAGCCCCTTCACTTCTTTCCCAGGAAAAGCCAAGGGGGCAGGCGGTGGCGCAGGGCAGGAAGCGGAGATGCTGCGGCCCCATTGCCATGGCTACGGGAGGGGGAGGTGGGCACGCCGCTGGCCCCCCCTCCCAGCATTTGGAGACCTGCCGGGAACCAATGGGAAAGTAGGACTTTGTTCGCAAGGCTTTAGGCAGGTTTATCATTTATTTTTATCGCGGCAGGCGCAGGAACAGACGTTTGAGCCCAACGTTGTCAACTCCCGCTCCTACCGTCAGGTGTGGGGAGGGAGGGGGAATAAAGGGGGGCAGCGGGGCCGGCTGAGGGCAGCCCCACTCCCACGGGTGCTCTGGGAACACGCGTGGTTCCCTCTGGGATAACTCAGGCTGGAAATGTCTCCCTGCAGCAGCAGGGGGATGGGAGAGGGGGAGCAGAAGGAAGCCTGGGGTTTGCATAATTAATGCCCGGAGTTGCAGCACCTCGGGAAGGAGGTGACGGCTCCGTTCCCCTCTCCCCACCGCGGTCCACGAGATCCCCACACTTTTTGGGGAGGAGCTCGGACCCCGCACGCCGCTTATCCCGCTGCAGCCCAGCGCAGCCCCCTGGCCCTTGGGGGTCCCAGCCCCACGGCTGGCAGCGGGAGCCCCTCTCCCCCAAAACGAGGTCGGGGGACCGAGCCCCGTGGGGGCGAGAGGAACCCCTGGGAAAAAAACAACCCCCACAAAAAGTTCAGCTGCCCCAAAGCTGCAAAGCCCCGAGTTCCCCTCCCGCGCCCCCCGGCCGTACCTGCGCGGGTGGGAGCGGGTCCCTGCGCGCACAGGAGCGCGCACAGGAGCGCGCAGCGCAGCGCCCCGGGACCCGGCGGGGCCATGGCCCGGCCCGGCTCGGCTCGGCCCGGCTCGGTCCCGGCTCGGTCCCGGCGGGAGGGGTGTCCGCGGATCTCCCGGGAGAGCGGAGCGGAGCAGATGCGCGCCCGCGGGAGGCGGCCCCGGCGGCGGCGGGGGAGGGGGGGCGGCCCCGCCTCGTCCCGCCCCGCCCCGCCCCGGCAGCCCCGGCCCGGGGGTGTGGGGGTCTCCCCCTCACTGCACACACCCCCATCGGCCCTGGGAAACCCGGGGCTGCTGCGCACACCTGTGCACACCTGTGAGCTGCTGTACACACCTGTACACACTGCACACACCTGTGCACACCTGTGAGCTGCTGTACACACCTGCACACACCTGTACACATCTGTACATACCTGTACACACTGCACACACCTGTGCACACCTGTGAGCTGCTGTACACACCTGCACACACTGCACACACCTGTGCACACCTGTACACAGCTGTACACACCTGTACACACTGCACACACCTGTGCACACCTGTGAGCTGCTGTACACACCTGCACACACCTGTACACACCTGCACACACCTGTACACATCTGTACACACCTGTACACACCTGTACACACCTGTACACATCTGTACACACCTGTACACACTGCACACACCTGTGAGCTGCTGTACACACCTGTACACACCTGCATGTCCCGTGTGCCCTGCACACCCTGCACGCTCGCTGCCCACGCTCTGCCCGCTCCAGCCCCGTGCCCGGGACACTGCCGCCCCCCGGGCCGGGTCCTGCCGCTCGGACCGAACCGAGCTGAACCGAACCGAGCCCCGGCCGGTCCCTGCCCGGGCTCCGAAGGGGCGGCCGCAGCCGCGCCCGGGACCAGCGGGGTGTCCCGACTCTGCGGGGTCCCAGCAGAGCAGCAGCCCGGCCTGGGCTCTCCGGGACCCCCTCTCTCCCCGGCGGGGACAGATCTCCTCGAAGGCTTCGAGGAAGCGGCGCGGGGGAAGAGCCTCGAGAAGCGCAGCCTTCTCCTCCCTCCTCTCCTCCTTCTCTCCGGGGGGAGGGCACCCCGCCAGCCCTTCCCGTACCCCCCCGGCCGGTCATTCCCGCTTCTCCTGGCCCTGAATTATTCAGCCCGGCTTGGGAAGGCCGGGCCGCGGGGACAGGCCGGGAGAAGGGAGGGGGCTGCGCAGCCCCGGCTGTGCGGGGGCAGGACAGGACCCGTCCTCGACCACCCTACGTCCCCCCAAACTCCGGGCCGCCCCCTCCACAGCGGAGCCCCCAAACTCCGCATTGCGGGGACAGGGGCGAGTCAGGCTCCGCACACCGAGCTGCCGGGGGTCCCCGGGTGGGAGTTTGGGGGGCGCGGAGCGGCGTGGGCGGGGCGCGGGGGGCTGTTTTTATGAATGAGCTGCTATTACTATGCGGCGCGCGCGCTCCCGCGCTGCCCGCCCGGGCGCTGATTGGCTCCGGCGCGCCATTGACGTCACAGCGGGGCGAGCGGGGCCGGGGGGGCCGTGAGTCACCCCGAGCCCCCCGGAACCCCCCGGCCCCGCTCGGGCGCTATAACTCGGCGGCGCCCATGGCAGCGGGGCCCCAGCCGGGCAGCCCAACGCAGCCCGGGCCCGGCATCCCGGCAGGTGAGTGCCCGGCGCGGGGGGGACACCGGTGGAGGGGGGAGCCCGCTCTGGCGGAGCGCCGCGCTATGGGGAGGGGGGCGAGGGGCGGCCGTGCCCCCCAAAGCCCGTTCAGGAGCTGTGCTGCCCGCCCGGGGGGAGAGGCAGACCCTCAAGGTAAGAAGGGATGCCATAGTGGGGATAGGAGGGTGGCTGCTCCCGCTGGGGTTGCTGACTGGGGGGGGCAGGGTCGCCCCCCTTACCTGCTGCTTGGGATCCCCTCACTTTGGCCCCGAACTCCTCCCGGGGGATGCTGTTTTCCACTGCCAGTCCTGCTCCCCTGGATTTATCCATCAAAATCATGCAGTGCCCAACCCCCAGCAGCTAAGGCAGGCAGGAGCAGGGGTGTTGTGTGTGCGTGCGTGTGTTCCGTCCCCTTTATTCACCTGTTTATTTTAAAACTAAACCATCTCATCCAGAAAAATCCCCTCGGAGCAAACAGCGAGCACACTCTCAACCTACACTGCTCTGCCCACGCTCCTGAAGACAACTTTTGGAGGCAGGCAGTACTGTCCCGTCTGGGCGGCACAGGGGCAGCTCGTGGACAGCAGGTGCTGAGGGGCTGCTCTTGCAGGTCACCCTCCGCCATCATGATGGAGAAAGAGCCCCCCAACTCCAGCGAAGGCCAGCAAGGCTGGTTCTCAGCCAGGAACGGCAGTGGCAGCTCCTTGGATCTGGAGTCTGTGGTGCAGCCCCTCGCCTTGAACCTGTGGGACGTTGTCCTCTGCATCTCGGGGACCATCATCTCCTGTGAGAACGCCATCGTGGTGGTGGTCATCTTCTACACCCCGGCTTTCCGCGCCCCAATGTTCCTCCTGATCGGCAGCTTGGCCACAGCCGACCTCCTGGCAGGCTTGGGGTTGATCCTGCACTTTGCCTTTGTGTACTTGATTCCGTCGGAAGCGGTCAGCCTGCTCACCGTGGGGCTCCTGGTCACCTCCTTCACGGCCAGCGTCAGCAGCCTGCTGACCATCACCATCGACCGCTACCTGTCCCTCTACAACGCCCTCACCTACTACTCGGAGAGGACGGTCACCAGGACTTACATCATGTTGATCCTCACCTGGGGAGCCTCCATCTGCTACGGGCTGCTGCCCGTCATGGGCTGGAACTGCCTGAAGGAGCCCTCCGCCTGCAGCATCGTCAGACCGCTGACCAAGAACCACCTCATCATCCTGTCCGTCTCCTTCTTCGCGGTGTTCGCGGCGATGCTGCAGCTGTACGTGCAGATCTGTAGGATCGTGTGCCGGCACGCGCACCAGATCGCCGTCCAGAGGCACTTCTTGGCCAGCTCCCACTACGACACCACCCGCAAGGGCATCGCCACCCTGGCCGTCATCCTGGGCACCTTCGCGTCCTGCTGGCTGCCCTTCACCGTGTACGGGCTGCTGGGCGATGACAGCTCCCCGGCCCTCTACACCTACGTCACCTTGCTCCCCGCCACCTACAACTCCATGCTCAATCCCGTCATTTACGCCTTCAGGAACCAGGAGATCCAGAAAGTGCTGTGGGCCGTGTGCTGCGGCTGCTTCTCCTCCACGCTGCCTTTCCGCTCCCGCTCCCCCAGTGACGTCTGACGTGCCCCCCCCGCATCTTCCACTCACCGGTTGCAGTCGGGGATTTGCTTTGATTCCCCCTTTTCATTCCCAGAGGCACATTGCAGGAGCTCTTGGAATCGAGCAGCTCTTCCCAGCCTCATCCTATTTGGGCACAACCCCTTCTTTTCCTCTATTTTTCCACTACTTTTTGACAAGAGAGAAAAACGTATTTTTTATTCATAATATAATCTATATTTATGTGTGTGAGAGAGGGGGGTGATCCTCATATTTTCTTTAAAACTATTTATGATGCTTTATTTTTTTAAGGGTGGGGAAACACCAGGAATGTTCATCCCCTCTTTTTTTTTTTTTTTTTTACAATCTTGTTATTTACCTCAGATAAAATATATTTTATACATTTGGGGAAGGGGAGGAGAGACTCGTTGTCAGAGGAGGAGGGACTCAACCCCCTCCCCCCTTTCTTCCAGCCATCCATCCATTTATTTATTTATTGGTATTTGAATTATTATTTAATTTGATTTCCATGCCTCCTTCCTGCCGCCCAGCGCTGGGCCCTGCTGCCCTCTAGTGCTCGCTGCCTTCAGGAGGGGGGGGCTGCCAGAGGCTCTGCACCCCCGAACCCACAAGTTTTGGGGTCCTCTGTGTGCTGCCACCCCCCTCACGGCACCCGGGGCTCCCCCTGCCAAAGCCTTTCTTTGCACTGGGGTTGGATTTGCACATTTCTGGGCTGGGGAGATGGATGTGAAAGGCGAGGGGACCCCCGGGGATGGGGACCCCCGGGGATGGGGACCCCTCACGATAGGGACCCCTGTGGATGGGGACCTCTCAGTGGGTCAGGGTGGCGGGGCTGCTTCTTGTTTACAGCTCTGGTAGGGGAATAAATTAATTTGTGGTACGAGGTGCGGCTGTTTGATGCTGGGGAGGGGGTGGGATGGCGTTTCCCGAGGGGGCAGAGAAGGCTGATGTTCCCGAGTCCCATCAGGGCCATCCCCCTGCTGCGTTTCCCTGCTCCCGGATAAGAGATGCCGAGTGACAGCGCTTCCCCCACCCATCACATCCTGTTAGCAGGAGCCGGCCCGGGGGGAGCCGCACTGAGGCCCCTGACCATCCTCATCCTCACAGCCCCAACAGGCCCAGGGGCTGCATCCAGTTCTGCTGGTGACATCTGACCCTGTGTCCCCCCCACCCGGGGGTGCCGAGGACTCACTCCCACCGTCCCTCCGAGGGGTCGCAGTCTGGGCCCTCCATCCGGCAGGAATAACATCTCTGCCCCCACCGCTGAACCCCAGTCCCTTTCCTGGTGGAGGGGGCACAGGGGGACCGTGCCCAGCACCCCCACATCGAGACTGCCACGCTCCAGAAGTCCCTGCTCACATGGCATCTGGACACCCGTCCCTGCTGCCCCAGCTGCCCGCCGGTGGCAGGGAAGGCGGGGTTAATGATGACAGAGCTAATTAGGGCAGCGCAGCCCCTCCGGTAGCAGCGTGTGCTCCCGCAGAGCCCCCCGTGCCCTGCCCAGGTTTCTCCCAGGCATTCGCGCGTCCGCAGACGCGGCAGAGCCCAGGGCTGGGGAGCAGCCGGGGCCCGGGATGTGTGCGGGATGTGATGTGTGCGGGATGTGCGCGGGATGTGTGAGGGATGTGTGAGGGATGTGTGAGGGATGTGATGTGTGCGGGATGTGATGTGTGCGGGATGTGTGCGGGATGTGATGTGTGCGGGATGTGTGCGGGATGTGTGAGGGATGTGTGCGGGATGTGATGGGTGCGGGATGTGTGCGGGATGTGTGCGGGATGTGTGCGGGATGTGATGGGTACAGGATGTGTGCGGGATGTGTGCGGGATGTG